CACCTTTCATGAACACAAATGTAAATCCTGTATTTAGTTACATTCAAATAACTTTAAATCAACATTAAAAGGCACCTATCATGCAAACTACATTTGGAAGCTGTTTAGACCGAAATGTACCATATGCTTTGTGAATGTGATTGTGTAACTATTTTCAGCATAAAATCAGTCAACACAATGTAAAGAATATTCTGTGAAATATTACCTTGATATTTTTATATTAACTGAGGTTGTGAAAAATTTGCCTAATTTTAGACTCAGATATATTTTTTAAAGAAATGTCAGTGCAAAGCTTATATTTAAAAATGAATTATAATTATCCAATGTGCCATATACCAAACTAAAGGGGCACATCCAGGGGTGGGTTTAACCAATAAACAAGGTAAAGTGACCGCTTATGACCCCAGGAAATCTGAGGGCCCCCAAATAAATACCTGGATGTATAAATGATACCTATAAAGCATATATAACATTGTTTTCTATCATGTTTTGTACAGCGAGGGATTAAAAAGTTTAATTATAAAGTAATTATTCCATTCGCGCAAATGTGTCCCCCATCTTCAATCATGGATGAGTCCAGCAGTCAAATCAGAAAAGATTTAGTTTTATAAACAAAACAGTTCATTTATTATGTTTAGTTGTGAATTCATATAAGAAAGCAAATGCTTTACACGTTATTATTCTGCATTATGATAAAATGTGGAAGAGAAGATCGAATTGTATAAGAAAAACATTCAAAATTATTATTATTATTATTATTAAGCAGAAAGGGTCCATTTTAGAACTTTTGAGCCCCTTGGCTGGAATTGCTTAGGGCCCCATAATCACTAAATTAGCCACTGACAACATCAGCTTTATTTGTAAAACCACACATCAGTAGAAAAGGGGAATACATATATGATTGATAAATATCTATATTAATTAAAATATATAAATATTAAAAATAAATAAATATAAAATAATAAATATTAAAAGAAATAAATGTGACAGTAGGCTATATTACACAGTCACATATGCTGTATCATTTATTAAGAAAGAGTTGGCTTCTATGTATAAAATTCATTGCTAATGCATGAAATAAGCCTCAGCTCCAGGTTTCTTTGTAAACGGACAGTCCACGTGCCGGATGGTCACCTTTGAGCTGCGCACAGAATGAACAGAACAGACGCTCCGCGGTGACGTCATGCACAGCTGATCTGGCAACAACTGGCAGTTCACCGAAAGGGCCGATGGCATCTATAATTACACACATCCAGCTTCAGCAGTGCGGGAATACGGTAAGAAACACGGGATATGCTTTAGGACAAGCTGTTAATGAGTTAGACGCTGTGGTTGTTTCTTTTTTCCGCTAAACGGCTGCGCGAGGTTGTTTTTATCATCTTATTGTAAACGTTTTGCTTGTGTAATTCACTTGACGTGACTCTTATTAGCGTGTAATGTGGTTATCAAAACAAGCGCGTCCTTTATATGGTTCAGGAAAAACGAAAGTATGAAACTGTATTAGGGACTGTATTACACATGGAAATTGAGCAAAATAGCAACGCTGCGGTGACTCAACGTCATCGAACAGCGTCATTCTTTTACACACACAAACATACGGCCTCTGACCATCGTTACTGTAATTCGGTTACTGTAGTCAACATTGGGTCATCATTTGATAGATTTGGCTGTGCTGGAGGGTCATCGCAGTTTCAGGCACCCCATCCCGGGATCCCGGATGAAATGAGCTTCTGTGGACCACAGAGCGACCATTTGCTGCACTGTCAATCTAAAAGCCAGAGAGATCAGTGAAGTCAGCAGCAAAAACATTCAGCGACTCACTGTTCAGACGGTTTGACAATCAATTTGTTTAGGATTTGCTTACAGGCGAACCATTTTAATACTGTATTTGAATAAACTGGAGGCGGCCAATACAAAACAGGTAGCGCAACACGAGCCAGTTTCTAATTGGTCGATGGGCTTCTTAAACGTTCCTGCTGTCATGATTCACTAGCACAATTCGATTCTTTTGAATCGGTTCAAAATGTGAATCATTTGCTATTGAAAATGACTTCATTATTTAGCTACTTACCACCATGTTGTTAAACTCCTATAACTTTAGTGCTTATTTTGAACACAAATTTTAATATTTTTAGTGAAATCTGAGATTTATTCTCCCTTCAGTTATCATATGAAACCAAAACTTCCAGAGATGATAAACTTGTATGAATTGAGCATTTTATGCATTTTATTTTCTTAAGAAACACCCTCACCTTATATAACAGATTTCATTTATGCCTTAATTCATATAAACTTGGATTAAAATGGTAGATTTATATGGACGTATATATTTTTTCTATCTATGCAATTTTAAATCACCAGTATTCTGGGTGAATAGTCAACATTTGAAGTGGATCACCACCTTTCATCAAAGTTATCCTAAAACTATTGAACAACACCCATTGTTGTTTTTGGACAATTTTGAAAAACATTGTTAATTCACTTCGAATGTTACAGTAGTTTAAAAGACAATTTACATTTCATAATTTTTTTTACTTTGTGTTCTGAAGACAAATAAATTCGTAGAAGTTTGAAATGAGCTACACTGTTTCTAAAATAAATTAAAAAGTTACCTATTAGTGTGAGTAACACAAAATTTTAATTATTTTTAAAGTAGGCTAACTTCTCTAATACTGATAAAGAGACATTTTTTGAAAACATGGTATAAAATAAAAAAGGCAATTATTCTAGTCTATATAATAAATACACAGAAAAATGAAACTATTAAAATATACACAATTATTACAAAATAACATTTTAATAATACGTTCCAAAGAAGTACCATGTATAGTGTTATAACAATGTAATACCAAAAAAAGTTGTCATCTAAAAATTTATTTGAACTTGTCTGAATTTTGTGTGTGTTTTAACTAAAGAAGAGTAACAAAATCAAGTTTTTGATTAGTAATAGTTTACCCTGACGCAAAAACTAAAAACATGATTGGCCAACAGTCATTTTCTGGAATCTAAAGGAAATTTTATAACTAAAAAAGAGCATTTTACTCAAATCTATTCCTAATATATCTAGTACATCCAGAGAAACGTAGAATATACAAAGATTTTCTCAAATTGCTTTATTATATTATTCAGTTGCTTGGTCATAAATTCTTATAATAAACTGTATAATTTACATGTAATTTGCAGGTAATAACAAATGAGATTAGGCGAAACCTTCCTCCGTTTCCATCTCAGAGTCACTTTAATCTTGATTGAGGTAAGTTCATTTAATATTTGCACATTCTGACTACCTCGTTAATATTATAATTTAGAAAAGTATTCTTTGCAAATTCTAAGCAGGGAAATAATATTAACAGCCAAAGAACAACATTATTCACAGTCAGTTCAATAGTGCTAATGTTGTTTTGAAGTCATACTTGCATGCGATTTTAGACCAAATATTTAATGTAGGATGGTAAACAATAAAGAGAACATGTCACACGCTGTCACTATTCAAAAATTAATGAATGTTGGAATATAAAACCAGAAGGTAGTGCTGTCACCTCACAGCAAGGTCCCTGGTTCGAGCTTCGGCTCAGTTGCCGTTTCTGTGTGGAGTTTGCATGTTCTCCCTGCGTTCGCGTGGGTTTCCTCCGGGTGCTCCGGTTTCCCCCACAGTCCAAAGACATGTGGTACAGGTGAATTGGGTAGGCTAAATTGTCCGTAGTGTATGAGTGTGTGTGTGTGGATGTTTCCCAGAGATGGGTTGCAGCTGAAAGGGCAACGTAAAAAAAACAAAAAACTTGCTGGATAAGCTGGTGGTTCATTCCACTGTGGCGACCCCTTTTAATAAAGGGACTAAGCCGACAAAAAAACGAATGAATGAATACATATAAAGTAAAGCTTAAAATAAAACATTAAGAGTGTAAGTAATTTAAAATAGACAAACATTTGTTTTATTGCTGATAATGCAAATAAATGCATTGTATATTAATGGATACTAATCCAAATGAATCCAAATGTGTTTATCCAATAAATAAATAAATGAATAAATAAACATACATTGCTATGTACTGTAGAATAAAAAAACTAACTGAGTTAAGTACTGAGGAAATAAAGCTACAATTTAAAGTAATCTTTAAGCATGTGTTACAACTAACCCTCTGTCTGTTACAACTTGCCCCGCAGTAACATTTATACTCCTGGCATTTTTGGCAATGCACCATAGATTATGTCAATCCTACAACCAGATCATACAACAAGTGCTTATTTGAAGGAGAGGCTTGTGTGTTGTTGGTAAAAAACAAAAACAAATGGTTTGTCTAATCCAGGGGTCACCAATCTCGGTCCTGGAGGGCCGGTGTCCCTGCAGGGTTTAGCTCCAACTTGCCTCAACACACCTGCCTGGATGATTTAAGTATACCTATAAGACCTTGATTAGCTTGTTCAGGTGTGTTTGATTAGGGTTGGAGCTAAAATCTGCAGGACACCGGCCCTCCAGGAACAAGTTTGGTGACCACTGGTCTAATCTCTCTTTGTTCATTATATGGCCAAAACTAAAAAGTGTTACTTTGTGCCCCGCTCTCCCCTAATAAGATGATTTTGAGACAACTTCTTTCTGAAACAGTGCACAGATTCAATTGCTAGTTGAATTTAGAACAAGACAAGCTTTACCCACTGTTGTTTCAAACGGAACTGGTATAATACATGGAGCTCTGTTCAAACCAGCGTTAAACAATCTACAGGATCAAAGACAATGGCGAATTCTCTTGGTGAGAAAGGAAAATTTTACTTCTGTAATAAATCCTAATACAATAGCAAAAGAACATTTTCATTAAAGAGATCATGAACTAAAGTAATTTCTAATAATATTATTGTCATAAGAGCCGAAACAATGACAGAACGAGCTCTTTCGAAGCATTGAACTAACATTCAAGCGAACCGATTCGTCCGACTGAACCTCCAGCACTGCTCATGCCCAAAACAAACTCCCGTCAGTGCCTTACGTCACCAGCCAAACCCGCAACACATAATAACACGTGTATGCAGACAAGACGGAATGTTTTTACTGTCTGCTTCCAAAACACACGGTTGCTATACAGCGCGTTAAGACCAGTCATAGCACTGTTTCTAACACATTTCCGACTCGTTTCATGCGCATATCAACAGATTTACTTTGCGAAGTATGTTCGTTGCAGACTTAAGATGTGTTTGCCCCGCAGATGCGAAGATGAAGCGACCATGATCAGCGCCGATGGCCGCTCCGCCAAGCGCGAGGAGACCCGGGACTCCGGCAAGAAGAGCCGGCGAGCTCCAGAAATGCTGCACCTCATGTTCGCCGTGTCCGTGTGGCTCGTGACAGGCACCACCATATCCAGCCTCAACAAATGGATCTTCGCCGTCTACAACTTCAGATACCCGCTGCTGCTTTCGGCCCTGCACATGCTGACGGCGATAGTGGTGGACTACGGGCTGATCAAAAGCAGGGTCGTCCGGCACAAAGGCGTCGGCGAGCAGGACCTGACCACCAGCGCCAAGTGCAAAGTGTTCCTGCTGAGCCTGACGTTTTGCGCCAGCATCGCGTTTGGGAACGTGGGACTCAATTATGTGCAGCTTTCGTTTGCGCAGATGATCTACACCACGACGCCGCTGTTCACGCTGGCGATCTCGGCGCTGATTTTGGGCAAGCAGCACCACTTTCTCAAGTACACCGCGATGATGCCCATCTGCCTCGGGGCGTCATTCAGCATTATGGGCGAGGTGCAGTTCGACCAGACCGGCTGCCTGTTTGTGTTCGCTGCCACTATGCTGAGAGGCGTTAAAACTATTCAGCAAAGTAAGTTATGTATGCATATATTTAGTGTAATATATATATATATATATATATATATATATATATATATATATATATATATATATATATATATATATATATATATATATATATATATATAAGCAAAATGCCTCAAAAAGTTAGATTTCAGATTTAGAGTTTTTAGATTCATGAAAAATATAACATTTTAATAATATAATAATAACAAATTGAACTAAAACTAAAATAAAAAAAATATGAAGGTAACAAAAACACTACATGCAAAAATGTTTACTGAAATAAAAAAATATAATGCAACTTTGAATAAATGTATTATTGATTGGGAAACGTCATGATAATTGATTGATGCAAAACATTCATTGGTTTTAGTCTTAATAAACATATTTCATTGGATATAAACAGCTTTTTACAAAATAAATTATCGCTGCATGATATTGGAAAACTCTAACATTGCCATATTTATATATATATATATATATATATATATATATATATATTGTAATATGAATACAAATTCACTAGATGAGTTGAACAATTGGAAATAATTGATCATTTTAGATATAGGTGCATAAAATATAATAAAACAATCTACAAGCATAGATAAGTAAATAAATTAAAGAAAAATACGGATTAAATAAACAACAGCATTTTTTTTCGAGGAGTCAAATTGTAATTAAGTGTACAGTATTTGAATAACAAAATGTAAATTATTACTGCATAGTCTTTGTTTTATAAACAGTTCCATAAAATTAATCGTTGTTAATTAGTCAAAGTTACAAATTGTACACTTTCATAGGCCTCAATGCTTTTAAAACGCTCACGCAATCCCAGGCCTTAAAAAAAACACTTGCGAAAGGATGAAATATAATCCAGACTTAACATCGCATATACTCGCGGTGTGACTATTGCAAATGACTACATTGTGATATCGATGCTGAAACTATGTATTGTGCAGCCCTATAATAAATCTAAAATTAAATCAAGTCAAATTTATGTTCTCCGGTAAAGTCTACATTATTCCAAGACAAACTGATTCACTCCCTATGAATCATTTCAACAGAATCATGAATAGGATTCAGCTCATAAGAACCATATGCGCTTGGTGATTATTAGTGAGCTTTCAGAGCTTACGGTTGAACATTGACTTGTTTGACAATAAAGCCTGTGTTAAAAAATTCAGAAAGATATTCATAGCTGTATCTAAATTCAATAATCATTAAAAAAGCCACTGGCCATTTATTGACACATGAAAATATCCTCAACCAGAATTTCCTGACAGCAGAGCTAGTTTTTTAGTCTGTCCATATAGCTAGTTATGGCCATAATCTTTTCCCCAACTGCTTTACTTCAGTGTGAGTCAGAAAGAACCAACCCTTTGACACATCCTGTTCTGGGACATCCAGCCATGAGCACAAACACCACTGCTACTTTAAAGGGATAGCTCATCCAAAATTGAAAATTTACTCTCGAGTTTTTCCAAACCCTTTCTTTTTCTGTTGAACAAAAAGAAGATATTTTGAAGAATGTTACCACTGAATTCCCTAAAATACTATATGGAAGACAATGGCTACCGATTTCCAGTGTTCTTCATAATATTACCTTCAGTGTTCAAGAGATGAAAGACACTCGAGCAGTTTTGTAAAAGCGTAAATGATGACAGAATGTTTATTTTTGGTAAGCGATCCCTTTAACCTGATTTCCCAAGTAGCAGGGGAGCTGGCAGTAATGGACAGGGATTGGCTAATAGTGTGTTTTGTTTTGCTAAATGAGTGTCAGCTGTGCTCTATTACACTGATGTGCTCTAAATGTGGGTGTCTAGCTTTGAGAACATCATGTTGTGAGACCAGACTGAGGACATTAGTTTACTGGCAGAACCTGTTTTCTATACTGTATGTGTCGTCCTATTGTCATGAATTCATTCCTATTGGGTCACAAACGGCAGCAGCCGCATTTGTTTTCCAGTGCTGTGTATTTCAACCAAATTCTTTAGTTGTTGTAATGTTACGTAACATCACCTACAGTTTGCATGCACGTTAAATGGGCTGTGGCCTGTTTTTAACAAAGTGAACATTGTTTGTAGTGTGACGCTATAATGGGTATATAAGAGAAAACCACATCTGAGAGAACTTGCAAATAACCCGCAATTTTTAGGGGTGTAATAGTTTGACCACGGGCGTAAATCCCAGGGGGGAACGGGGGGACATGTCCCCTCCCATCCAAGGCTTCAACCCCCCCCATCCCCCCACCCACAAAAAAAAAACACACTCTCAAAATAACACTCTAAAATATTTGTCTAAGTACAAAGAAAACCGTTAACCATTAGTCATTTAAGATGCATTAAGAAACAGTTGTTTGGCATGGACAGTGATAAAGCAAAAATACAATGGGGGAAAATAAGTATCCACACATCACCATTTATCTCAGTAAACATATTTCTAAAGGTGCTGTTGACTTGAAATTGTCACCAGATGTTGATAACAGCCAAATAAATGCATATATGCAAAGAAAACAATATTAATTTGTTTATAAAGTTATGTGTAATAAAATTAAATGACACAGGAAAAAAGTATTGAACACATGAAAAAAGGAAGCTGTAGTAAGGCAGTGAGAGCCCAGACAGCAACTGTAATTGAGTACAATTTTGAGTTTTGTAAATATAAAAAATATATATAAATGTATTTGAATATATTAATAAATTTAAAGTGTTATGGAAGCAAAAGGAGCAGTATAAAAATGTGCAGGTATTTTATGGCAGTTCTGATGAAACAAAAGGTGGCTACTTTGCTAAACTGTCGACAAACTGTGCAAAACCTCGTTTCATTTTTTCCGACGTGTTGTGCTTACATAAATGTCTGCTTCAAAGACATTAGACTCATAATTTGATGTTGCTGTCTCTTCACTGTACTGGTTGTTACCAAGTTACAGACAAAAATAACGTGCTCACAATATCCAATCAGATAAGAGAAACCGAAAAGTAATATGGTGTTTACGACATCACAGAGAAGGTAGCATTTAAAGGTTTAAAAGCACAAACTGTTTCTTGATTCTAAGACTATATTCGCACGGAATTGACAAATAGTCGCACTGTCGCAGGCAAACTAAACTTTAGTGATAAGGCAGCGCTGGTCCAATTGGAACAGTAACGATCTTGTCTTCTGTCCCGAGCGTCTCTTTTGCTGGCCTCGGGCCATCGGGCAGCCCTGTAATTTTACAGTTTTTTAATATTTTGTATGTTGGTATTGTTTTTTTTTTTAAATATTATTCTGGTTCAATTCCATGTCAACAGGTCCTTTGGAAATATTATCCCCTGAAAAAAAATCAGACGTATTGAATACTGATTTCCCCCACTGTGAATATATATTTTTATTAATTTTAACTAACCAAACCAATTTATTAAAAGTAAGATCATGAAACAATATTTTCTTGACTTTGAACAATGAAGGAGCTCCACTTGACCCAGTAGTAGTAGTGGTTATAAACAAATGCAAAGAAAACAACTAGATCGGTAAAGTGCCGCACTTGAACCCATTTTTGCATGTTTTAGACCATTAAGGTGTGCAGCTTGAGCTAAAAGACTACTTGTGTTTTCTGCTCTCTAAAACAGCACTGGTTCTCTTTTGCACTAATAAAAGCATAAATACATCTAATACACTATAACAGGGCCGGAGTGGGACTCCTTTTCAGCCCTGGAGTTTCAAGCTTCAGACCGGCCCACCTCAGTTCACGACTGACTATATTAAAATAAGGTCATTTCCAAATCAGTTTCTAATGACACTATCACGTCTCTTTTTGAGAAAACAGCTGCTTTAGAACTTTAAATGTTCAACAACCCTAACAGTCTTATATGTCTCAACAATAAAAATGAAAATAATAACATACTCAGATGAGGATCAAACCCGGGTCGGCGACGTTGTAATCTAACGTGCCGGACCACAACGGTTGTACAGTGAAAGGTGACTTATATTATTATTAACCTGCAGGCTGGTTATATATAAAAAGAGCAGAGCTGCGGTAAAAATAATGAATAAGAAGACTGTGGTCAAGTAAATAAATAAATTAATTTAAAAAGTGCGACTGCTGAGAGCAACAGATTCTGGAGCTAGGGACACCGGCCCTCGCGGCCAAAAAACAGACCGGCCCACCGGGAATTCTCCCGGTCCTCCCGATTAGCCAATCCGGGCCTGCACTATAAAAATCAAGCATGTCCCATGCTACAAAAGTGAAGGGAAATGAAATTTGGTTTCTTAGTACTGGCTTGCAGCTGGAAGTACATCTGCTGGGTAAAACTTATGGTGGAATAGTTGGAGGTTCATTCCGCTGTGGCCACCACTGATGAATAAGGGACTAAGCTGAAGAAAAAAATAATGAAAAAACAAAATTTGGCTTTGTAGAGGATAAATGTATGTCTAAATATCCTGATGAAATGCAGACTGCTAGAAAGGGGGCATAATATTACGCAAAAAAAAAAAAAAAATTATATAGATTTTTTCCCATAATCGCTTTATTAAATTAAAAATAGTTTAATCAAAATTCAAATTTGATTAAATTTGCAGGAATAAGAAATAGTGTAGCTTAATTAATGTAAAAAGTGAATAATTATTTTTTCCATTCAATAAGCAAATATTTTTTTGTTCTTTTCATTGATAGCACCACATTTAAAATAACAGCTGCGGGACGAGGCCCTGAGCACCTGTTTTATGTGAAGTGCTAGACGTTTTTTCTATAATGTAGCGACAGTTGGAGAATGAGTTAAATCCAGCGCTGCAGAATTGTTCACAGCTGAGTGTATTTGGAAGAGCTCTGTAGTATCAGCTGCTTAAAAACGCTTCAATGGACTCGCACCTTGTTCTTATGTTCTTGTAAATAGCATCACTATTACAGGCCATTATACAATAAGCTTATTCAGCATATGCCTGTATCGGATGTTTTTCTGTTAGGGTGTGCAGAGGTGCAGACCAGACTGCATGTTACCTGTTACAGTACGTTGTTTGGGCTGCCTTGTTGAGCTCAGCGGCACTGAGAAAATAATATTTCACACACTTTTTATATTTATATATACAGTACTCTGTATATAAATGAGTACACTCAATTTCAGAAATTAATGTTTGTATTATAACTGATTTATTAAATGGATATATTTATTAAAATTATATTTTAACCACCAAACATCTTTAGAAATAGAAAGAAAATACATTTCAATTCATGCAAAATATTAGGGGAAAATTACAAACTACAAAATCTAATCAGAATTGTACTTTTTTTTCCCCTTGAATTTTGCTGTTTTAAAATTTTTTATTTAGAATTTTTTCTAAGAAATAAATTTGGGTGTACTAATTTCAGATCGTTATCATAAGTTATTTTGTTAGATAAGCTCCAGATTTGGCTTCAATACTGACTCATCTAATGTATGTGCACAAATATAATATTGTATAGCTTCCTATAGAAAATATTCATTTAAAAGAGAGATTTGGGAGGGGTGTAGTCATTTATGCTGAGCACTGAGCACACACACACACACATACACAGATTGTATACAAATTTATATACAAATAGATTTTTTTTCATATAATTGGTAGATCGTTGTGTTTGTAAGGCGTCCCATACCAAACAGTTCAGTGTGAATATGTATGTCGTTACATTATACTTCCGTGTATTTACACTTTTAAATTGCATCATTGGACTCTTTTTCTGCCCTGAATACTTTAGATGTTAAAAACATTTAATAAAGTGACTTTTATTGACATCTTTAATATAACACTCAAGGTTTACGTTCAAAAAGGTTTTTTTTTCACAGTGATTCCAAAAAGGTACTTTGGATTTTAAAGGATACATTTTTTAGCATTTTATGAGTTTAGCACATTTTAATATTCTGTAGAAACATTTTCCACTATAAAGAGCCTTCAATAAACATTCTATATTATGGTCAAATATTTTTGTAAATATTAATGACAATAAAAACACTTCAGTAATTTACTAATACACTTTCACTAATTCTAACCATCGCACAATTACCCTAACTTGACTAATTAACCTAATTAAGCCTTTAAATTGCAGTTAAAGCCGAATACTAGTAGTATCTTTAAACATATCTAGTAAAATATGAAGTACTGTCATCTTGGCAAAGATTAAATAAATTAGCTTATAAAACTATTATGTTAAGAAATGTGTTTATAAATCTTCTTTCCGTTAAACAGAAATTGGGGGAAATATACAAGGGGGTAATAATTCAGCAGGTCTAATAAGCGTGACGACGAATGTATATATTAAAGCTCTATAATGCAATGCAATGTTAAAAGTGTAAACAAACTGAAATCACCCATGAATAACAAAATATGTGAAACTTTTAATGAACAGAGATATTTTACAACGTGTAATTTATTTACTCGACTAGTTTATTTACTAGTTCCAAGAAAGATACATGGGCGTATCTAGGTCACCTATTGGTTTTATGTTTCAGTCGTCTATTTCGGTTGTGCCCATTGCATCACAGAGGATAGGCTTGTTTACTTTACGCATCACACTTATAACTCAGCATGTGCTTTCGTGAACGACAATCCAGATGGCTTAAGATGTGTGTCAAGTACACTACACCCAAAGTGTATAACTTTTTCTTTGTACATGTGCAATTGTCAGGCATCTTGCTCCAGGAGGAGAAGATCAACTCTGTCTTCCTGCTGTACCTGATGTCCATCCCCAGCTTCTGCATCCTGGCCGTAGCTGCTCTGGCCTTGGAAAACTGGGCTGCGCTTCAATCCCCCTTCCAGTATGACCACCATCTCTGGGGCTTCATCTTGCTCAGCTGTCTGGGGTCAGTGCTTTATAACTTGGCCAGCTGCTGTGTCATTACCCTGACCTCCGCTGTTACGCTGCACATACTGGGCAACCTGAATGTGGTGGGCAACCTGCTGCTCTCCCAGGTGCTGTTTGGGCATGAGCTGACGGCTCTGAGCTGTGCCGGAGCCGCCCTCACACTGTCGGGCATGATAATCTACCAGAACTCAGAGATCATTGTGGCTTACCTTGATGCCCGGAGAGCCAGAACGCCAGCCGGTGGCGGTGGAGAGGAAGAGCTTCTTGCCAGGGAGAATGACTTGAACATTTCACAGACAACTGCAGAAACGTGTTCAGATGAAGAATCATTTGCAGATGCTCAAGAACCTAATGAGAGGACAGAGATGGAGATTCATGAGAAAACTGATTGAAGGAACGTACCTAAGATGATGTTCCAAAACCTAGTGAGCTGCTGCAGTGTTGACTAGAGGCCAGGAACTAAAGGAGGAAAATGAAAGTAATTGGGATTTGATGTGGTCTCTGGCCCTTAACAACTTAATCAGGGGGGCGAAGCAACTTTTTTTATAGTTTAGTAAAACTAAAATCATGAAAAACATATTTATATTTGGAGCTTATTTCTAAAGCAACATTTCTCATCAACGTGACAATTAAAAAACAAGACTACATGCTAATTAATCATTCAGATATTTACCAAAATTAAAATAAACTATAAAACATTTTACAAAATATCCATAAAAATGTATTATAGTATGTCAGTATCCAGGACGCTCTTGAAGAAGAGATTACAAATGCTCTGGTAAAATAAACCTTTGAATAAATAAATTAATTAATCAAGTAAATTAAATAATAAGAATGAATATAAAATGATACGAGCCTAGGCATTCTGTAAATCACAAAACGTTTTTGTGTTCTACAAAAGAACGCCATACGTGACAAATAAAGTTAACTTTGGGTAATCTATTTCTTTCCCAGTACTGCGTTGTGGCTGGAAGGGCATCCGCTGCATAAAACACATGTCGGAATAGTTGGCAGTTCAATCCACTGTGGCGACCCTGATAAATAAGGGACTAAGCCAAAGGAAAATTAATAAATGGATGAATAATCTATTACTTTACGTCAGCTGCATCCGTTTGTGTCGAAGAGATACGCACTTTTCACGCACAATTTTAAAGCATAAAATATAACAGGGATCATGCCGTGTCGCTGTCTTGTGAAAAAAAAAAAAAAGATTTTGCATGAAAAATCCAAAGCCTACAGGCAAATTGCGTTCAAAAATAAATGTCAGCATGTAAAAACAAAGTACTATACTTGTGGATAATCTATACTTAACCACTGTGCTGAAGTATGATGTTAGCATGATGCTAAGCTAACACAGTGATACCTAAACAAGTATAAAATATATTGAAAATATATATATGTAGAATATTTGATCATCTAAAATAGTTATAATTATTTTATTGATTCCTGTATTCTCCACCACTTTTTTTTCCACTGAGCTCATCCCGTGCTAGCACGTATCATGAAAGATATGAATTTCTGAATTTAGCAGTCCAGGCTCATTCTGATTACGTACCGCTATATACATTTCTGGAGAAAGCAAAAAATATGTCCCAGGAGCTACATTTTTTGCAGTTTTTGTTTTCTCTAATACACCAGAGGCCACTGTGTACACTTTTTCAGATGTAAATTTCTCTCGCGAGTGCCATTCACGCCTGCTGTTCTTATGTAAATTCACCAGAGGCCGCTGTCAACTGACTGACTAAAAGACTGACTAACTGATCGACTGACCCTCCCTTTTCTTTAAACCCAACTAATAGTGTTTTTAAAGCACAGATTGACCCGCCCACCCACTTACCTAAGCCAAAAGGCAATCCAGAAAAGACATTCTCACCCTGTTATTTACTTGTTTATTTTATTTTTTAGCTTTTGTTTTTGACTTAACTACTTTTTGGAACCGTTCTTTACCGCACTCGAACCCCGTTGTTGCGGTCAACTTCACTTTTGTCTCAAGTCCGCCGACGTACATATAAAGCTACCAGACAAACTGGTAACAGCAAAGAAGCCATCCATATGGAAGTAAGCGGTCAACTGGTAAGCGTGAAAAGTAACAGTGACTTACCGCCCTGTAGCTTTATTTTTAAGATGAAATGCAGCCATACGTAGCTCTGCCTACGTAATTCACGATCTCCAGAAATGTATATAGGGCTATGTTTTCAGAATGAGCCTATGTTGGAATTTAGGCTGTTTAAACTGTGTCTCTGGTCCTTAATAATGCTACCTATGTGGGCAGTTCACTAGGTTTTGGAACAGAAAACTGAGCACCATCCAGTGTTTGCTGGTTTAATATGGAGTCAGATGAAATACGAGGTGTCCTGGTTGGCCATGTTGACATTTGAGGTGTAGTTTATCCCCCGTACCTCCTCACTGTGCCAATGTATTTAATTTCAGTCATTTTCCACCGTCTCTCAGAGCTCTGAGACCGACTGACATTAACTAGCACATGCCTTTTTAGCACATGTTGCTGAGCGCAACAGTTTTTTTTTATTACCTCTGTTTTGCCAACATGCACTTATAAGTGCGTACAAATCTCCTGCATGAGCATCGGAAAGAGCTTCTATATCCTGTCATATTCATTCGGTGACTGTCTATCAAATGCACTGTGAAAAAAGGACCGCTTGAACTGCTGTGGTCTCTTTAATGGCCAGATTAGATGTTACTGGACTTGTTCGCACTTTTTGAATACCAGAAATGGGCACACAAAACAAATATATAGAAATAATGTATTTTTAGATACTGTAACTCAAGCCGTCTTGATTTGATGATGTGAGACGGTACTTTAAGGCAGCTTTGTGTAGGTTGCTATGTTTGAAGTATCCTGTGTTTGTTACAGCACTACAACTTTTTAATCTAGGTTACGTTTACAAAATGGAGATGAGCAAGACTGCTGGATTCTAACTTGAGTTTAGTTTTATTTAGTGTGGTGCACTATTAGAAATTTAGATTTATGTCTTGTTTTACAGAAACATAAAAAAATTTACTGATCCCACAAGGAAATTTTCACAAAAAGTTATATTCAGCCTCAATCATTTGCAAAAAAAAAAATTATATATATATATCCACACTACTTGTGTATATATATATATATATATATATATATATATATATATATATATATATATATATATATATATATATATATATATATATACATATATACACACACACACACGGTTGAAGTGAGAATAATTAGACCCCCTGAATTATTAGTTCCCTGTTTATTTTTTCCCCAATTTCTGTTTAACGGAGGGAAGATTTTTTTTAGCACATTTCTAAACATAATAGTTTTAATAAATCATTTCTAATAACCGATTTCTTTAATCTTTGTCATGATGACAGTAAATAATATTTTAATAGATATTTTACAAGACACTTCTTTACACCTTAAAGTGACATTTAAAGGCTTAACTAGGTTAATTAGATTAACCAGACAGGTTAGGGTAATTAGGCAAGTTATTGTATAATTATGGTTTGTTCTGTTGACTATCGAAAACAAAAATAGACTAAAGGGGCTAATAATTTTGACCTTAAAATGTTTTTTAAATAATTAAAAACAGCTTTTATTCTAGCTAAAATCAAACAAATATGACTTTCTTCAAAAGAAAAAGCATTATTAGTGAAAAATGTATTATTATTAAAAAATTAAAAATAAAATAAAATCAAAGGACGGCTAATAATTCAGACTTCAACTGCATATATATATTAATATTTTTAGTACCCATTCCTTTTTATCTTATTACTGCAATATTTATTATTCAATGTGGGGCTTATTACTATAATACACATGTTTTATCTTTATGTATAATTACTTTACAATTTAAATCATATACCGTTTTTTCATGTAAAGGTGTTTTTTCTCATTTCAGAAATGGGAACTTAGGGAATCGGCTAAAATCTTATTTTGAAAGACAAAAAACCCTTTATGCTAAATTTGATTTGATATCCTTTTCTTTTTTTTTTTGGAGCAAAATATGACATATTCCTGAAATATTCATCTAAAGGTGGGCAAATTATTTTTGATAGAATATCATAAAATGTCTCCATAGACATGCACTATAGGTAAATTATGTCAATTAATTGGCCATAGTGTATGTGTGTGTGAATGAGTTTGGGGTGTTTCCCAGTACTGGGTTGTGGCTAAAAGGACAACGCTGCATAAAAAAAACAGTGGTTCATTCCACTGTGGCGACCTCTGAAATAGAGACTAAGCTGAAGGAAAAGGAATGAATGAATTAGGGCTGCACAATATATCGTTTCACCATCGATATTGCATTGTGCACATGCGCAATAGTCACATCACAAGATCTCAAGGTCATGTATGAATTATTGTTGACCAGGAGCTTGTAGAATAATGACAAATTTTAACTATTTAAAGTTTATTAATTGCATTTTCCCCTTGTTAAACACATCAAGTGAGTTTAAAGCATTCAGGCACAAAAAAACAATAACATTTGTAGCTTTAACAAACATACATTTTTAAAGTGAAGGCTAGCAAGTGTACGTTATATTTTTAAATATTTGTGTCCAACTGCTATTAAGACTCGCAACACATCTTCTCTAAACATCCACTAAAGGTAAATGTTAATAATTTAGAGATAAAAACTAAATATTGACAGTTTTTAAAGAGCCTGAGCTACTGTATGCACAGCCCTCTCTCCATGTTTCAGTTGACATTACGTCACACATCAAATAAAAATGTGCAACATCTATGGAAATGCACTTCCCTATAAAATCACCCTAATTTTCTGTAATAATACATTATTCAAAGAAGAGTTATTCAATCTATCCACTGAAGTATATTTCATATCGCAATGTATTTAGCTGAAAAACAAAATATTGCAATCCCAATTTTTTTTCTAATATTGTGCAGCCCAAGAATGAATGATATTATAAAATGTTCATAGGTTACCAGATTCAAACTGGTGCCTCTTACCTAATTCCCAGCGCAGATCATTATTAATATCTCTCTCTAAGGAGTCTCACACATCTTTAGCACACTATAAAGTCCTAGGAGAAATCAAAACGATAATTTCACTCTGATTGTCCTCTTTAAATCCTCCACTCTTGCTCATCTCTTCTGAGTGGGTGCTCATTAGTTTCATTAGTGATTTCTTTATTTATTTATTTTTGTGTGTGAAGCCTGCTGGACAGTATTATTTTCCCTCCATTTTGAATTGTGTGTTTTGCTGCTGTTACAAATGACACTAACTGAGGTTGTAGACCAAGGTCATTCCCTCAAAGAGGTTTTGTTGCCATCTGCTGGATAGAAAACCCACTTTATTATTAATATTATTACTTTATTTTATTTTTTTACACTGAATCGAAGTGCATTGGATGCTAATATCAGAGTTTAATAGACATTACAACTGACACAAACCATTTTGGGCTTTTTAGAATTGGAAGACTGGAAATGTTCGAGGATCTGAATGTTGTAAAGAGGGTGTAAAAGTGTTGGCAGTTTTATTGAGCCATTATTAAAGCCTACACTAACTCAAGTGTGCCTAACCTGAGGGCGGTTATCTGAAGAAAAAAAAAGCCTTTCAAGCATTATTTATTTAAGGTCTCAACTGGACATCAACGCTTCAGTGTTTCCACTCATTACTTCATTACTAGTGAACCTCATCAATGGAAAAGCATTGAGTAAAGATGATAGGGAATAATATATACACAAGTTTATTTTAATACATATAATAGGCATTTTGGTAGTGTTATCCATTAATGATGATATATTTTGATATTGCATTTTAAAAAAGACTAGGGGTGTAACTGATCACGATTGATCCACTATTAGTACAGATCACAACCTACGGTTCGGAACACACGTGACCCGCGGATTAATCGTTTTCTTTTTTACTTTTTAAATTTGTTACGATCGCATAGAGATCGACTCTCACGTCATTCAAATCACATGTATGAAAGCATTTAGGCTTTCCTGTAAAATATAATGATGATGGAATGATATTTGGGATGTGGTGGGGTTTTTAGGTTATTAAAGGTGTTTTCTTTCACTACTTGTTTAGCCTGCATTAATGCATTCAGTGTAAGCTGCACGATTATTCATTAAAAGATCGTGATCTCAACACCAACGCAACATAAATTATAAATAATGTTGATTTGCTTGTTTATTAATAATTCGAATTGCTGCATTCAAATCTGTGTTTGAAAAAGGCAAAAATCAAGAAAGAGATTCAGTCTTTAGTCTTTTGACTTACAAAAAAAATCAAATAACACAGAAGTTCTGGGATAACAGTTTATAGTTTAGATATAACCACTGATGTTAATGGTAAAGATTACAATCATCATATGCATTTAACTCGACGCTCAAAATGAAAGTTGTAGGCAGCATTTAGATATTTAACCAAAAGGTGACGACAACAAGCCATCAAACATATGCCACAGAATAATTCTTCAAAAGTAATATATCTAGCAATGAAACATGAAGTTTTATGAGTGAATAACTGAATCATTTATTGAAAATGAGACTAAAAAATAAATATAAATTGTACAAATGATATGGTTAGATTTATACGTTTAGCTTCATCTGCAAAAGTAGAAGTTAAGGATGTTCCGATTGATCTGCTGAAGATCGGTATCGCCCTATAATCACATTTAATGACTTGATCGGTACTTGCCAATCTGGCCGATCTCATGAGCCGATCTCAGGGGTTTGTTTATGAGTTTACAAGGAGAGGAACCATTTTTTCATATGTGTGTTATATTATTTTCTGTAAAGCTGCTTATGGCCATGACATATCCACACCAAATGGTTATAAGAGACGTGTTAAAGGGACTGTATGAAGCATTCTCCATTTTTTTCTCTTAGGTAAGGAGAGATCTCCACTAAAGTGTCATACTTAGAGGGAAAATAAAGCGTGAAGCATCAGAATCGGTACTATCAGCCTATCATCATGACAAGAAATCAGTACTCGGTATCGGCTACTAAATCCTGATCGGAGCATCCCTAGTAGAATTAACTGAATTTTTCACATTACTAAATATTTTACAATGTATTTTTATTTAGCTGATTATTTCTTCATTTTATTTTTTTAAAATAAAATTACAGGTTCTAAGTTCTGTTTTTTAAAAACAAAACTGTCTTGCAGTACTGTTTTTGTAATAAATGGAAAGCAAATTGCATTTGTCTCCACCCATTTTTGGCTGATCTGAAAAATGGTTAGATCCGTGACTAAAACACCATTATGTGATCTAAACCGTGAGATTTGTGATTGGTTACACCATTAAAAATGACAGATTAAATGCATCAGTTGACGCATTATTGTGCTGGTGCTGTCACAACTCTGGAAAAATTTAGCAAAATCCAGGATGTTTTTATTCAATTTAACATTCATTAGCCACAAAATGAGTGCAACGTTTCAGATACTTCACTCCTCGCAGTGAAACATGAGGGTTGTCAAATAAATACCTCACATGTTATTGCTTATTCCTGTGATGTTTGTTGAAGTTTTACTGGTTCACTAGTGTTTTGGTTTATGTTTTCAATGCTGACATCTCTTAAAACAGAGGGACAGTCGTGATACTGATGGTTTTCATGTCTCTTGTATTGTTCGCAGTGGAAAATTGCACTGACGATTTGCATAAATTTTATGGCTCATGTGTATATATAGTTTCTGATGTCAGAATATCATATGTAAATGATTATTTTATTTACGTATTTTACAATCATGGAAAGCTGAACAAATATACTGGTACAAAAAGCACACTGTCTTGAGTCTTATTCCGCAATCACACTTTTGAATTATTTGCTGTTACTGTTGTTTGTATCAAAAGTAATTTGCTAAAACATGCAAGAAGTGTGGTAAAACGTATGAGGAAAATCCCAGCAACATTTTAAAACATGCTATGAATTGTTAACATTTAAATTTTTTCAGTTATGAGTTCCACACAGTCCCTTTATGTTATCCCAACGCAAATCGATTAGGTTAACTAAATGGTTTTTACAATTTTGAGTTGATTGAACATAACACAATTAAGTTGTCCAAAGAAAACCCTCGAGAATTGTTTTTAGCTAATTTTAAACAAGTAGTTTGCGTGCTAACGTGTTAGCATAAGCCAAAAACATAAATGTTATTGATGTGTAAACGCATAACAAGAATATGCTAAAAACATGTTAAAAGTTGTGCTAAAACATTCTGTTTATTCTTTTAAAATACGTTAGGAATGTGTTTTCCTGTCTAAGTGTCTATCTGACAATAAAACCTTCAAGCATTGAGCTTGTAAAATTTCATACATTCAGGAAAGTCAAGCTATAATCACAGTTTGCTCTCAATAACAATATGCATTCCTGCAGCTTACTTAGAGTTTCTAAAATTACAAGGTGTCAGATTCCTGGAGAAGCAAATAATTTCATCAGCTTGAATATCAACAAATGTATAAAGAATAATAAAAAGAGAGTCATTTTCTCTCATGTCACTGTTTAAATTGTTTCCAGAATCTGGCAGCAAGTTTTGAGAGTTCATTTTAAGGCCGTTTCAAACTCTAAAAAGGCCAGTCTTTATTGTTAGTATCAGCGCTTTATGATTTCATCACCACCTCTCTGTTGCTAATGCCTCAGGATCACATGTCTATTTGATCAACTGATCATCATTTCAAATGTTATGATATTTCTTGAGCTTTTTTTATTATACATGGGTCATGTTTCAGGTTTTATTATTTGATTGAATTTTACAAACAATAATGTAATTTACTCATTGGTTTATGACTTTTATTCATTAATTGAGTCTCAATACATTTCTTATTTCTAATTTAATCAACAATAATTAATAGTAAACGATTTTTTCTTCGTTGTTGACTTTTCAGTTTGAGTCTAAGATCTGAATATACAGTGTTTTTTCTTTCAAGTCCTCCCTAAAATATATATCACTTATCAATGTGTATATACAAATGCAAATAAAGTATTCTTATATTTTACAGGAATGGCAATTTATGCATTTTATTGAGAATTTGGGACAACTGTAGAGATCATCATAGTATAAGCATTATAGCTATATAAATGTACTTTACTTAAGTGACCTTAATTGAGTACCCTCAAGTGAAGAGTGAATTTATTCTTATATTTATATTTGTCTTATATTTGGGGAAGAAATGCCACTTTTTCTATTTTAGATTAAATGTTGAGACCAAAACATCACTTCATCAACTTAACATAAACGTAAACAGTTCACCCAAAAACTAAAATTTACTCATTATTTACTCGAGAAGTTTTAAACCTAATCACTTTATTTATTCAGTTGACTAAAGAAGATATTTTGAAGAAAGCTGGAAACCGGTGATTGACTTCCATATTAGAAACAGTCAATTGTTACAGGTTTTCAGCTTTCTTATATCTTATTTAGCATCTAACAGAAGAAACTCAAACAAGCTTGAAACAAGAACTGAGTAGTAGACATAATTTTCGGTTTTGGTTCAGTATCCAGGACAAAGGATATATTTTTATATAAAATTATAATTCACCTCAGTTTGCAACAACTAGCAGTGGCCAGTTTAGCTGATTAACAAAAGTAGCATCTCCACATGACTATATAGATTTATATGATAGATTTATATGAACTTATTACTGTAAACTGTACCAGTCATGTATAATTAAAATAGTCAAACAGTTATTAGTCAATAACTTACCGAACATCCAGTCGAACTCAAGGTTTCATTTCATCCACATCATAACAAACAATACCCGCCATTCACCACTAGATGGAGCCAAACACCCTTTCATTTTACACAAACCTCCATCACACGGTGCCATTGACACGTCTGGCCTCTGCTTCCTCAGATAAATGCTGCAAGCGTGTTTATGTCTGCAAAGGAGAAAAGGATGTGTCTGACCGTTGTAAACATGGAGCTACCGCTATGCAGCATCACTCCTGCTATGCCTTAATAAGGCCATGTTCTCCGTCTGTCCACTTATTCACTGTTTAACTCTCCGTCGAGTCAGGCCACCTGCTTATACAATCACTGTCAACACAAAGCATGCTGGGAGAGCACCATTTATCTTCAAGTTTTCTTTCCTCGAGTGCACAAATAGTCTGATAGCACTTTTGAAAGTGACAGTGTTTAGATTAAACGCTGACGCACTGTTATCTTGAGAGCAGAGACAGGAAAGGGAATGATCAGGACAAGCAGTGCCAAATAGTTTACTAATACTTAATGTCTCGTTCTAATAGAGACTTTTGTGTTTGTTTTGTTTCTGGTCCTTTCAAAAGTGGGTGATGATGGGAGGGGTTACTGAAAAACTCATTCAGTCCAGCATCAGAGCAGAGTATTATATGGTAAATCCCTCTGTTCACCTTTCTAGATCACACTGCAAGAGCTTTCCTCTCGGACGTCCGGACCGAGTCTGGTGAGCTCCTTTATGTTTCTTATTGTCATTTTACTAAGCATGGACTTCTGTTAAAGAATTTCCATCCATCTTTCAGTGCAATTATTGTGTGTTTACATAACAGCTATTACGCTGATGTTGAGGCACAAATTGTTTTTGAGTGGTGATGTAAATTACTCCAACATCATTATGTGTTATTAGGGTAAAACTGTATTATGGGATTCAGAAATCAAATAACATTGACAATTTAATTGCTAAAGCTTCAATCCACACACATTATACCCAACATTTTATCTAAAATACAGTACCAAAGTGTATCATGGACACTGGAGGATCTTATCAATTTTCGGAGCCATTTTGGTATTGAGTGTTAATGAAACCGGTCAACACAGATGTCCTATTATAGTAATCACAGGCATCGTTTGGGTACAACTTATGATCCACGATCCACTTATTCTTACTATGTGACAGATGGAAACAAAATGTTGTGTTCTCCGGGAAGTAGGAACCAATTGCTACAAATAAATATTAGAAATACATTTTTCAGGGGGAATGCCAAATAATGAATAGTAAAAGCGTTGTAAGCAAGCATTTTACTACTTCATTACCTTGTTTTAATTTCATTTGTGACCACAATGGAACTTTGTGGGTTCAACTAAGTATATAATTGTTGCTTGAATTGATGGAAATTGTGTTAATCAATTTGTAATTCATGTCCACAGGTAAAAATGTTTTCTCGCATCATGTGCAGGTGTACTATAAAATATTTGTGAACTAACTATATTTGTGAACTAACTTATTGCTGGCGGTTTATTCATTCCACTGTGGCGACCCCTGATTAATAAAGGGACTCAGCCAGAAAAAAATGAATGAAGGAATGTTTATTAATGCATTGTGAGACCTTGATTTGTCCACACCAACTTTTGATGTGACTTTTATTGGCATTTTTAATCATATGAAGTTATATATTGTCTGGGTTAGTGTTGTTAATTATGGTACAAAAACCTGGTAGAAAACGTCCAGTATAGGCATGGGTCGCTATGAGACTCTGACGGCAAGACAACCTTGTATAAAAATATCACGGTTTTACAATATTGTGATTAGTTTTTTAAAAATGTCTGGGTAAAAAAAACAACAACCTTTTCCTGATTGAACACAATATATTTTATTTTAGAAAACATTTAATATATTTTGTCTTTTTTCTTTTAAACATGTCAGGCTAAACAATTCAAATAAACCACTGACTCCCTTTATTAGATAACAACTTGAAAAGGCTTGAAAAGCTTTTCTTTCCTTGGATATAAATCACGGTTTAGGTCTTTATGTTTAGGTGGGCTGACAAGTAGCTTTTGATTTGGAGGACCATTTTGCTTCATATACTGTTGCCCTAAAAATCCTAAAGAAACCATCATAAAAAAACAACTAGCATATACCTTAGGAATGGTATAAAAGAAAATGTTTGTGGTTTCATAACCTTAACTTTTCCACAGTAAACCAGTTATCTTCCCATGCCTAGTCCAGTATACTTTTTCTGTTGTTTTACAGACTTAATTTTCTTAATATTGTTTCTCATACAGTACATTATATTATTACAAACTACTAAAATGCCAATAAAAGCCACTTAGTTAAAATGCAAAGTTGAATTTACAACATCAAAAATCAGCAGAGCAGAGATTAAGGTCTTATAATGCAACTCATAACCAGAAATAAAAAGAAACACCATATGAATCATGAAATCGATACCTGTTAATCAACTGATATTTTTGTTTTACAGTAGAGAACGCATTGCCACATTCACTTGAAGTATATCAAGGCTTTTAGGGGCTTCAATGACAAATACATAACAGTATTTTATTTTTATTAAAACCTAAATTTAAAACAGACCTAATTTAAAAGAAACTTTTTTTTTTTTTTTACTAAAAAATACATTTAAATGGTCTTCACATTTCACAATTTACAATTTAAAAACTCTTTGAAGATTTATTTTAGAATGAATTTTCAATTTAGAGTCCATTTTATCTAACAAAAAAAAGCTCTGAGAAATAGTCTCCGCTTATGAAGCATGTTATTCCACAGATCCTTTTGTTTGTGTTTGGGCCCTAGTTGATTTAAAGGGTAACAGGCAGAAGGTGCGCAACACATCCTACAGCACTGCATGGTAAACGTCAGCACTAACCAACATGGCTACTGTTTATGCTGAGATGAATGCCTGAATTATTGTCATCCGGATGTCCTTTATGTGCGTGGCTGAAACCAGCTTGACTTGCGAGAAAACAGTTTCGCAAAATATTTTTTTTATAAAATCTGTTTGTTTAGAAGCCACGCAAAACAAAGATTTGGTTGTGACTAGATAAATTCATTAAAAAAATGTTCTTTAGTATGACTTGTATGTTCTTTAGTTTTCTTCAAAAAACATCCATAAAACATTTACTTTCCATAAATGCTTCTTTAGATATTTAAAATTTTCTTCACACTAAGAAATTTTTTATTCTAAATATTTCTTCTCTAAAAAATAATTTTAAAGGAACCCCAAAAAGTTTTTTTGTTTTAAGTGTGTTCTAGCATTTCATCACTACAAGCTAGCAAGGTTATTTTAAGTAAAGGAAAAATAAGACTACGACTAAAACATTTTCATTTACTGAAATGAACAAAAAATATTCTGAATAAATGAAAATCTATATGAAACTAACAACACTGATATTAACAACATAAAATAATATTAGTATTAATATTAATAATATTCTTTCATTATTTTCAGTTCAGTCAGTGTCTATACTTCTATTTTAATTACAAAGAGGTTTGCACAATATAACATTACAGCATCAATATCGCAATGCAAAAATCCGCAATATTCACATGGCAAGATCTGCATTGTCGCAGTGTAAGCATTTCAAGTGAATTTAAGCCATTTGGGAACAAAAAAGTACAATGTTTGTAGTTTAAAGATTAATTGCATATAATTATTATAGTGATTAATTGCTTTTTTCTTAAAAAAGGCAACTTAATGTATATAATTATGCCCATAGTTCATTAATAACTTAACAAATTATTATAATATAAAAATGTACCAATTTTAAAACTTTATTAAGGCAACAAGTTTACTCGATTTTTTTGTTAACAACTGTTTGAGTTTTTTAAATGTTCAGTTAACTTGATTAACTATTGCTACAACTAAAACTGAAAATAAATATGTAACAGCTCAACAGAAACATGTTCAGAACATACAAACTAGACTAAAACCATTAATGATTTGAAAAAGTAATCTGAAAACGATAGCAAGTTTAAAAATAGTATCGGAATAAAAACAAACTAAAAATGCAAAACTATAAAACCTTCTCTTTAAGATCTCTGAAAATATCTCTATACTAGTAGCTCTTGCACAAGCGTTCCCTCATTTTTTGTCTCTATAAAAGTCCTTCTCGTTCCCACGCACACATGGAGACACACACGCACATCTCGTAAGCTGGCTCCATCAACACCTCCTGTTCCTCCTTCTGTCCCAGCTGTCACTGAAGATGGAGGCTGAGAAGGGAACATTAGAGGCAGGTACCAAAGAGCAGGCCGATACCATGGGTCAACTGACAGCAGAACAGCTGGCCGCTATAGAGGATGAAGAGATCCTCAATAACATGGTAAGAGGCCACTGACGGCGCTACAGGCGGAGCTGGGTTTGTTATCACGGTTTGTCTTGACCATATTTAGGAAAAAAGTGTTTCCCTTCTGTTTATCGCATGTAATAGCTAGATAAGGCTGTGGATTTCGAAGAGAGGAAAATGATCCGGGCTGCCATGAGAGAACTGCTCAAGAGGAAGAGGGGTGAGGACTGGGCCATGTCCCTAATGTCACTTATTTAATATATACAGCTGAAGTCAGAATTATTATTATTATTATTATTAGCCCCCTGTATATATTTTTTTCTCCAATTTCTGTTTAACAGATTTTTTTGGGCACATTTCCAAACATAATGGTTTTAATAGCTCATTTCTAATAACTCATTTCTTTTATCTTTGCCATGATGACAGTAAATAATATTCAGTAAAGTGAATATTAAAGTGCCATTTAAAGGCTTAACTAGCTTAATAAGGCAAGCTTTTTAAGTAATTTGGCTTGTCGTTGTATAATGATGGTTTGTTCTATAGACCAGGGGTTCCCAAACATTTTAGCCAGTGACCCCCAAAATAACAATCCAAGTGACTTGCGTCCCCCAATATTCTCTGAGGTGGTTATAGATATATAATCCTTGCACACAATGACCCACACAAACCAATAGGCCCAAGTCTATTCATCGTTTATTTTGGAGAACGTCACTCGGAGACCATCCTCCATGTTTAGTTTTGGCCTGTATTTATTTTTAATGCACATGAGTGCTGTAAAGGTGTCAGAAAATTTTAACTGGTGCCATAAAATCAATGTGCTGCATCTGACGCTATTGCTATGTCTTTAATATAACGTAAACACCTCGGGAGTCACAAAAAATATCTTTTTATATATTTGCATTTTTTTAAATGTACTTTATTAACATGTTAACAATGTTACTATTAACTACAATTTTATTCTTTAGTAGTTTATGGTAAAAATTTGGTCATTCTAAAAGTTTAATAAAATTTATTTGATTTTTGGAAATGCCCAAGCGATTGTCCTGAGCCCCACTTAGGGAACCACTGCTGTAGATGATCATAAAAATATTGCTCAAGGGGGCTAATAATATTGATTCAAAATCTTGTTGTTGTTTTCTTATATTGTTTTGATTTTAGCCAAAATAAAAAATAAGGGCCCTATCATACACCCGGTGCAATGTGGCTCAAGGCGCGGCGCAATAGTCTTTTGCTATTTTAAGCTTGGCGCAAGGGTCATTTTGAGGTGTTGCGCCACATTGTTTAAATAGCAAATGCATTTGCGCTCTAATGTGCGCCCATAGGCGTTCTGGTCTAAAAAAGCAGGCGTGTTTTGGCGCGTTGCTATTTTGAGAAACTGTAAATAGTCTGTTCTTTAGACCAGAACAAAGTCGGTCTATTGTCTGGCGCAAAGTGCGCCCTACACACTACACACAAGATGTAGAGCAATACGCAAATATCTTTACATATGAAAAAGATATAATATATTAAAGATATATATAATAAGGATATATAAAGGATATAAATGATTAAAATATTACAAAACATATAAATTTCTAGCCTACATGAATTTAAAAACCACTGCCTTACTTTCTTCATCTCGGGAGGCTTTTTCAGTTCATTCAATTTGCTTTTGTATAATGTTATTATTATTAGCAGTATTATTTATTATATCCATATTTATATTTGTTTTATTAAAAACAAGCTTAGATTTGCCCACCTGTCAGGTTTTAGACCATATGGGGCATAGCAGGTGTATTTGGAAATAACTCAGTATTTTGACCACACTTGGTCATTATTGTTCATTTATTTGTTTGCTGGAAATTAGAACTGAATTTAGAAATAGTTTTGAAACAAATCTTTGCGCTTACCAAACTAAATAAATTATTTTTAGGCTAATTGATGTCTGTGCGTAAAGGTTTCCCTATCCACAAGAGCAAAAGCGAAAATGAATTTACACTGTAAAAAGTGCTACACTCACAAAGTTGGTTCTATCTACTTTAAATAATTGCAATCTAGTTAATTTTATTTGTTTTATACCAAAAAAAATAAAATTTGCTTCCTCTTTACTTAAAATATATCAGTTTTTATATAACTGTATATTTTAAATAAAACTAATGCAATTTATTTGAGTAGATTTTTGTACGTGGTTATTGTGTAGAATAAATGTTATAAAAGTGAGTTGACACAGACAATTTATTAGAGCAGCTGTCGATGTGGGCAGGTGTTCATAAAACGTGATTTTAATAGTTTGGCGTGACTCCTTTTTCATTGCCCGGGATTTAGCAGCCAGACGCAGCTTCTGCAATGGTCGACATTAACTGCTCCCAGCAGCGGATCTGATTAACACGGTAAGTTGCAAATTTAGCCGAATGATAATTGTAAAGTCATGCAAAACTGCTGTCTTCGCTAGGCAGGTGAGGTTTTAGCTTTGTAAATTGTACTGTAGCCTCAGGTATGTTAACAGTTAGATTGCTCTCACATGGAAAGCTAAGTTGGCTAACGCTAACCAACGCTAGTTTATACTAACGATTAAAAGTGATATTATTGAGAAAAATAGTGAAAGTAGTTTTAAAACACTTAGTAGGTAAAACTAACGTTGCAGAACCGATTAACAAGGTCACTGGTGGGCGGTCGGGGTGTGGGGGTTCAGTTTGTTAGCGCTAACTTAGCTAAAGTTAGCTCACCTAAGTTATAGCAGCACATTAAGGATGGATATTAAATGCAGAAACGTATGCAACAGTTAAGTAGTTTGTGTTTAACGTAAGAGAAAGTATAACTTAAAGTTTGTGTTTTAGAGATTTAGTCCATAAGTTTTTTAATGCTGCATAGTGAATAAATTACAGATTTACAATTTATTTTAACTTAAATTACATTTACTGATGTTTACAGAACCATTTAAATTGTATGCACCTCATTCTAAAATGCATGTTCTTGGTCTTTAGATACCAAAGTGATTTTGTTACCTGTGGATCTTCAAACTTCACATCCAGGTAAGAAAAACATTAGATACAATTACAGCTATAATTATTTGCAGGTAAGTAAAACATTGGTAAAATTGCAAACAATAGTGGGCTCCATAGAATTAACTTACATTTGATATCTGAAGATTTTTTTTATGTGTGCAACAGTAAAAACAGTATAAAAATATCCTAATGCAGTTTCTTATTATCTGTCAGTCTTTCAATAAAGCTAACTGATAACACTGAATCACTGAACTGTCATTTGCCAGTGACATTAAATTTGAAGAAAAAGTCAATTAAATGTAGCTTTAGCAAAAAATTAATGTAAACCTTAATGTAATGTGTAAAATGGCAATGTATTTATTTATTTATTTAATAAAACTTGTATTATGACGTGCAAAGTTTGGTGCAAAATGAAGATGACAATTAAATTATAGAATTTGTATTCTATAATTTTCTTATAGCCGTTTTCAAACAGTTTTAATATCTAAACTAAATTATCTAAATGCCAAAATAAACAAAAAAATGTAATACCTAAATTTTAACAATTCTGTGATTGACAGGAAACCACAATGACATGCACTGTTACACTGAGTAAAATCACAGTTTTCTTTAAAATTTGATAACTAAAAACACCTGGAATAATGTAATTACACAACCTCTATAACCTTTTTTTATTTTTTAAATAAAAGTTAGGTAATTTTAACTAAGGTAATTTTTAACTGATAAACTAAGGTGTTTCATCCATGCATCATTCTCACTGGACTTTTGTAACTTCACTTGTAGTTATTTTCTATTTAGTATTTAGCTATTTAATGTTGTTTGGTAGCAACAACCTGAACTCCTGTTTCTTTTTGTCTCTACCAATAGAGTTGTGAGGAATCAGAGGTGCATGCAGCTGCCCACAAGAAAAATTTGCCATCAGCCCAACACAGTTTGGATTATCATAGGACTGTCAGAGGTTTGCCAAACCTGTCAAATGCATGATGGCTCCTGTTTGGACTTACCAATGTCCTCGACTTCAAGTATCCATCAAAACTGTATACATTTAAGATGTATTAGAGACTCTTTGTGGGACTGGACATTATGCATCCAAAATCTTCATCAAAATATGCAAATCTCCTCACTGAGTTGCCTTGGATGATTTCTCAATAGGATCTGGTATTATTAATGTTTTTATTTATGTATTGTGTACGTGTAGCCACATTAATGGCCTATTTTGTAGTCACTATTAAAAGGAACATTGATTGATATTGAATACATGTTATGGTCTTTAATCCATCTTCCCATTCTTATTTAATTGTTATTGACAGGAAAGTCTGTTTATCTGTGTTTACTAGTGTATATTGTGCTTACAATATAGAAACGCCGATTTATTTTCTGAGGTTACAGCCAGAAGTCAATTAAATTCGTTTTAAATGACATATGCATGGTTAATTTTATTTAGATCATTAAGTTCATAATACTTAATTAAAATGAGTACAGTCAACATATAGCAATGTATAAGTAAGTTAAGTTTAACAAAAAAAGTAAGTTTATCTGATTTGAGTAATTTTAGAAATATTATTTGGCTCAACTTAATTTTATTGCATTTGTTTTAAGCAATGTTTTAGTGTTTAAAATACTTTAAAAAGGCTGGAAGTTGAATCAACCTAAAACGTCCGATGCAACCACTTGCCTCACTTTTTATAAGTTAGATGTAAGTAACATTTTTTACAGTGTACTTTACGCCATGTTAAAAGCAATGCGCTTATGGCGTGACGCAGCTGACTCTTAAAGGGAATGGGAGATGAGATTCTAATTGGTTTATTCTCAAAACACACCTATAACTCATTAAGAAAATAAACTCAACCCTTTTAGACCATGCGGCATTTTTCTCGTCGGATTTTCTCGTCCTTAAATTAGCATAAATGTGTTCTGACACGACCTGAAAGCGTTTGCGCCCTGCGTTTTGCGCTCTGCACATGGACCGTCAAAATAGAGCCCTAAGACGTTCTCCAGAAGAAAAATTATTATATGAAAAAATACTGTGAAAAAAAAAAATCCTTGCTCTGTTAAAGATCATTTGGGAAATTTTTGAAAAAGAAAAAAGAAAAAATCACAGGGAGGCTAACAAGTTAGATTCAACTGTACAAAGCTCAAACATTGTCTGTGTAAATTCTAATGTGGCCTGTTTTTGGTGAACCAAACAAAACATGTCAGCAATCTGGATCACATTATAGACTACAGTATATGTTGCAATGTAGCACTAAAGTGAAGATAGTTCATTAAGGTACCTATAAAAAGTTTGCCAATGTTTTAATATAAAGTATTATTGATCTGATATTTCTTTAATAGTTTTACATGTTAAAGATATTTTTATTGATTGCTGATTTATTATTCAAATGAGATCTTTTGTAGAAATGTGACTCTTTAAAAACTTCTATGCATAGAACTGTCACTGTTGATCAGTACCATTTCCCCCTCAATAAATAAAATAATTAGTTCGACACTGAACAAAAAATACTCATTTGATTTACAATTGAAGAGATTAGATGCAAACACCTCTAAATGTCGTTTCATATTTTCTTCTAAAATTTGCATTGTTTTCTGACTTTAGTTGTGTACACTGTACAAAATGCTGGGTTCCACACAAAGAACAAATAAGTTCTTTTCATCGTTTTCAAGTTAAATCCTTGAACATCAACATAGGAGGCTAAGAAAAATGCGAGGCTAAGAAAAATTTCCTTTTAGGAGGAAGTTTCAGATGGCATTTAGAGGTTTTTGCATCTGAACTCTTCAATTGTTTTAGGGTAAGTGGTTGCAAACAATTTATATGGGCTAAATTAAACAAACAGATTAAATTTAGTAATGTTTTACTTAAATTGTTTGCAACCAAAAAAACATTAGCAAATCCAATAAAAAAAATTTCTGTGAACTTATATAGGAAGTGACCTTTACTTAATTACTTTTTACTTACTTATTATGTGCATACATGTTTTTACATTGTACTTATAATTTAAAAAGTAACTGCATGTAATTACATCTTTATTTAATTTCTGTAATTACATTTTAATTACACTGTTAGCCCATCCCTTTAACCCACCCTTAATCATGCCTATACCATTAATTCTGTTCAAACTATGTGTTATGCAATACATTAGTACAAGATTCTTGTACTTATTTTTTGATGTAAGTATATAGAAGTTAAAGCAACTTAATATATAGTACTGGCGCCAAATTATTTATTTAATTAAAAAATGTCTTTGAACTTTTGAACAGCAACCCAAACATGATTTCATCAGATCTTTTCTTTAGCAGTCTTTACTATTACACAACTAAAGAAGTAAACAAAATATACTATACTTCTTTGTGTTTGTTAACTTACCAATTGAGATTGAAATACACAACAGTTTAGTTTATTTATTGTTTGTGAATGACCAACATCCGGCTCTTCTCTTTCTCAGAACGGCGTGATCGTGAGCGGGCGGCCCGCATGGAGAACCTGCGTCAGGGCACTGGAGGAAAGACATCTGCTAGCCTCAGTAAGGATCAGAAAGCCTCTAATGGCCCCGGCGGTGCTCAATTCAACGCACACAGTGAGAAAGCATTGCTCTTGAGGATCTGAACACTTTGTACTTTTACTGCAACATTTTGACAACCTCCATTTCTTTTTGTACTTTAATATAGGAACAGCTCAGGCAAAAACACTTTCACAACCAACCTCAGTTTCCTCTCCGAAAACGGTGAGCAGGTGAGTCACTGCTAGAGGGACGTCAGGACGCCAGCATTAGGACGCATCCCGTTGACTGATGTTTTTTTTTATTTTTCCTTCTGAAGCCCGGCTCAGTCCCATGTGGCCAGGGTTAAAATGTCTGGCGGTTCGGCAGTCGGAGGCCCAAACACCAAAGATGTCAAACAGATGCTGCTGGACTGGTGCCGTGTGAAGACTGAGCCATATGAGGTGAGCCTAAAGAGACAAAATCACATTCAATCAAACACTCGATCTGTTTTGTTAAATGTGTGACTCTCTGTGTGAGTCTCGAAAACATGTTTTTATCCAGCTTTGATTCACCCTCTTAAACTTGTTTGTGTGTTTAGGGTGTGAACATCCAGAATTTCTCCTCTAGCTGGGCTGACGGTCTGGCCTTTTGTGCACTGGTGCACAGGTTCTTTCCAGAGGGCTTTGAATATTGTACTCTTAACCCTTATGACCGCAAATCCAACTTTGAGAAGGCATTCAAGACTGCAGAGTAAGACTTTGAGACTAAGCTTTGTTTTTCATATATATATATATAAACAAACACAGTTGAAGTCAGAATTATTAGCCCCTCAGTACATTTCTGTTTAACGAAAGATTAAACAGAAATTTACTGTAAAATATTGTGTGATTTTTTTTTCAACACAATTCCAAACATAATAGTTTTAATAACTAATTTATTTTATCTTTGCCATGATGACAGCACATAATATTTTACTTGATTTTTTTAAAGATACTAGTATTCAGCTATTCAGGGACATTTAAAGGCTTAACCATAAGTAGACAAGTTAGGGTAATCATATGTTTCATAAATCATAAATTTGATGATTTAAAAATGTAGAATTAAAAGAAATATCATATTATATATTGCAAGTTTTATTATATTATTATTATTATTATTATTATTATTATTATTATTATTATTATTATTGATTCAAGCATTATGCTTACATGCTACTATAATTTTTTAGAAAAGTCAAAAGATCACTGTTCTGCCCTAAAACTTAATGTAGAGACCAAACAGCATGGCAGTCTACACATCATCAAGACTCACCCAAATCATACTGATGGTGGCGCTACAACAGCCAAAAGCATGAAATCACTGTTCTACAAGAATTCCTGGCTCAAGCTCTACAATTATTCATCAGATTGTGCTGCTACTGTGCTTGTGAAATAACCAATTTGCAAACTAAAGTCTTATGTTTTTGTCAGATCATAACCATAGTGATGCAGTTAAATACTCGAGAGTCTGAAAATTAAAAGTTATTGAAAAAAGTAAAACATTTAGATTCAGGTTAGTGACAGGACACATCTCCCAGCAGTGGCTGGGGCTACTTTTACCAACATCCTATCAAACTCAGAATGCATGAGATCAAACTGAGGTCACTATACTTTAGTGAATTTTGGCCTCTACCAATGGATGAAATAATCAGAAAATAATCAGGACTGATACTGTTGATACTGAAACTAAAAGGCTCTCGCACATTTTTAAAAACACAGACGCCATCAACCAATGATATTTCAGAACCTATTTGACAAGGTGAATGGAGTCAAATAGGAAAAAATTGCTGTGAACTACTTCAACTCATGAACTTAGAGGTCTGTGAGAGATTTGAATAATTGGCCACCAGGTGTGCGATTTTTACATTTTACAAGTGTGGAAATGACAAAACAATCTTCAATAATTGAACCAAAGAATATGACCTCCAATAGTTAATTTAAAAAAAAGATTTGTCTGGAAAACTTTAACAGGGTCAATTGGAAAACTATTTTCTACATCATTTTTATGCCGGAGTCACACTAGAGTTTGAGCATGTAAAAATTCTGTCATACGGTTCTGTGAAAAGGGCTGGGATTAAACAAGATAGTCAGATATTTTAAAAAAGCGAGCAATTTGTCCATATTTCTCTACCAAGAGATGTACACGTTTTGATCTTCAATTAGTCTCATGTAGTCACGTGATGCGATTTCGCAGGTCAGAGTTCACCAAGCTTGAACTTTGCAATGCAGTGAACTGCGAAACTTGAACCGGTCTGTTGCATTGGTGTGTGTAAAAATGGAAGTCTATAGGAAGAAAATTTTTTAAAAAGACCAAACAATAGGCCTTGCTATGCTGTTTTAATGTTTAATGCTGTTTTCTATGGCAATTCACCTGAAATGGCAAAAATATTTTAGTACTTTGGCAACCTTCAGCATTATATTTATAATAAATTATCAAGGCCCTTTTTCAGAAAGGAGATTCATTGAAAACTCAGAGTATGTTAATCCTGAAATGAGAGAAACTCTGGGCTTTCTGTTTCAAAATGGCAGGTTTGTGAAACTAGAGAAAACAGGGTAAGTCAAGCCTGTTTCTAGAGAGATAACTTTAACTCAGAGTCAGTTACCGTGGTGACTTACTCTGTGAACCTTACCTGGTCAGGAGCAGGTTTTATTCTCTAAACTCAGAGTTTCTGTCGGTCTCCCCTTTTTTTTAAAGATGAAGTGGTATTCCTTGCCTTACTCACATATTTTTATGCGCAATTTGGATTTGTGCGAAAAAAAACTGGTTGATGAAAACGCCATGATGCACATGACTTCTGAAAATAGGCATAATAAACATGTGGCATAGCTGGATAGAATAAACTTTTGATTCGATAAGAAAAGATGCGTATAAACTACGATGAGAAGACTTTTACCGAACAAATTCCAGTATGCGCATTAAGGTTTTATTATAAGAGATCATATGATGATGAAAATGTGTGTGAATGGACAAACCAGCAGGCTGAGCAAAAAAAACCATCTGAAATGTTGTTTTGGTCATTTTAAAACGCCTTAACCGTTTCAATATAATTGTTATTATATTATTAATTGCCTCCAGCTCCAGAGCATCTGGAGTGTGTCAAGAGCATCTGTTCTCCGCGTCTCATGATTCATTGTGTGTCATCATTGTCCTCTGAGGTGAAAATCATTTAATAAATAAAGAAAAGATTCATGCAGCTTCTTCTACCGCAGTAAAATCATTTTTTACTGTTGATATTTGGCGCCAGTTAATCAGAAAGTGACGATTTTGTTCTCTTTGATTCGTTGAATGGAAACGTTGCTTTATTCGCATATCTTGTATGCGATATTCCAGTTTTGCACATAAATTTAATTAGCATTTTTGGATGGAAACATAGGTATTGCCAACATTTCAGTCACACAAAGAACAAAGTCACATACGAGACCGGCTTGTCCTTTTTTAATGAATAATTAGTTTAAATTCACTGACCTTCGACAGGGACATGTCCTGTAACTAGATTAATGAGATTATTACTCGTTCTAAAAACTATTTTTTAGTACTGCTTACATTCTAAATGTCATATCAACCTTTACCACCTGATCAATAAAAAAGGCAGACACAAGTGCACTTTTAAATCTATTAAAAACACAATTTTGAAAATTTTATTTTAAACTGATCAACGTGTGTAAAAGTGAGAACCATAAATTAAACATTTCCACTGAACAGGTTAAATGCATTCTTGTTTTGTCAAATTTGTTGTTGAAACTATGCAGTATCCTATTTTATGTAATTTAATCCAATTACATCTGAAATAACTTCAAAATTACTTTCCCAGTGATGGTTGCAGCTGGAAGAGCATCCACTGCGTAATCCATATGCTGGATAAGTTGGTGGTTCATTTCGCTGTGGCGACCTCAAATTAATAAAGGCCGAAAAGAAAATGAATGGATGAATGAATGATTGAATTAATAACTTCAAAATGACGTCTAATTCCCCACTTTTTCCAAGTGAAAAGTCAATAAACATCACACACAACATAACTTTTTTTTATTATACTCGAATATTTAAATACTTTAAATGTAAACTTCCGCATGCAATTGAGTAGCTATGTTTTCCCACGCTAACTGTCTCTGTTTCACTGATACAGTGGTGTTGCTTTTTTAAAAAATATGGTCATATTTGCTGTAAATTTGCATGAGCACATCAAGTTCAGCAGGAGAAAGAAATGCTCTTTTTCAGATGTTGCCATGGTGACTCGTAATATCTGCGCTTCATTAAATATGCCTTTTTATAGTCGCTGTGTGCGCGCCTAACGCTGAGTTAAGGCTGATTTATACTTCTGCGTCAAACACCGGTGTATGCTGACGCATAGCCCATCGCCATGGCCGTCGCCGTCACTGACGTGCACCTCTCAAAAATTGTAACTACACGTCGCCACAACGCGTAGCGCAAGCTCTGTGATTGGTCGGTTTGCTAGCGCCGACGAGTCTGGGCGGGACCGAGAGCCGCGCGAACGCCGCGAGCGATTGTTTACAAGTGTGGAGTCCCGTGGAGGAGCTCCGGATGGAAAGTTTTGTTTGACCTAAAGCCTGATTTATACTTCTGCGTCAGGTGACCGGCGTAACCCACGGCGCACGCAACGCGCGTAGCTGTGCATTTATACTTCTGCGCGCTGACTCAATCGGTCTGCATTAACACTTCCGAAACGCTAGTTGGCAGTGAGGTGTAAATGTTCCTCTGTGTCGAGTTTCTTCGCTGTTGTTTTGCTTTTCCTGAACACTTCCGGGATGTACAAGTGGCTCAAACTCGCTCATTTTGAGGCAGGAACCGGCGGACGTGCAACAACTTTAACTATGAGGTAAACACAAAACAAAACTTTCCATCCGGAGCTCCTTCACGGGACTCCACACTTGTAAACAATTGCTCGCGCCATTCGGGCAGCTCTCGGTCCCGCCCAGATTCGTCAGCGCTACCAAGCCGACCAATCACAGAGCTTACGCTACGCAAAGTTGCGATGTGTAGTTAAATTTTTTGAGAGGTGCACGTCAGTGACGGCCACGGCGAAGGGCTATGCGTCAGCGCCGTAGCATACGCCGATGTTTGATGCAGAAGTATAAATCAGCCTTAACTCAGATAAGCTATTCTGAAACAGAGTTTTTAATTTCTCGATAAGTCAACTCAGAGTTCAAGTTTTAACCCCGGGTTAATTGAACTGCTCTATTGAAACAGGCCCCAAATGTATGAAATTGTTAATGAAAATATAATGTATTCAAAGATGCTCTAAACTATTTTTGAAAGACACTTTTGACCCCAGTGTAAGACCAAGTTCCAAAACACATTTGCAGTCAATCAGCAGCAAGGGGCCTGTCTAGTAACTACAGTGGAGATCAAAGGTGGAGATGCCATGAAGGTATTGGGTTGGGTGTGTTTGTTTTGGTGCTATCAAATATCAAATCAGTTATCAAATTTGCTTAAGGCATCTTTAATGTGTTTTTTAAAATAAAATGAATATATTATAAAGTATAAAATTATAATATAAAAAGATAATAGCAATTATAAAAGACAGCATGTCGTAAACTACTGTCGAAAAAACATCAGGATTTACATTAATAAGAGAGTATTAAGGAGGAAAAATGTTCATGAGCTAAATCATGAAAACAATGTTTGAATTTCAAATAAGATTGATTTTCCTTATGCGTGTAGGAGACTAGCCGACTGTCCTCCCCTGCTGGACGTTGATGACCTGATGCGGATGCGGGAACCCGACTGGAAGTGCGTTTACACGTATATCCAGGAGTTTTACCGCTGCCTAGTAGAAAAAGGCCTTGTCAAGACTAAAAAGAAGATGCCATAGAAACACAAAACTCCCACACTGTGAGTGTTTTCACGGACCAAGAGACTACAACAGGCACACAACACAGCATACATGTGACCTGAAGCTTTGCCAAAGACCAAAGAGTCTATTACATTCTTATGCTCGTCTCTGTTTCATATCAGCACATGCAGTGGATGAGGATTATAACCTGTATGTTTGGCACTAGGGTACAGCTGGGGCTCTGAAACTGCACATTCCAGCGAGATTACACATGCATTAATCTCAGTATGTGCTCAGAGATTGTGTAAATGTGTGTGTGTGTGTGTGTGCGCGAATGTCTTTTTATGGTACTGCTACTCCCCATTTTGAAAGTGCTCCAGCAGAGAGACATCAGGCTTATAAGGGCATGAGATCTAATGCTGAATTATACTTATCCCTGATTTATCGTTTGTTTAAAAATACTGACGGGCACTTGTACTGTTATGTAAAGGAGTTCAGAAAAGAAAACAACGTTTTAAAAGGGCTACATTTAGAATTCAGAAGCATGCGTTATTAGCGACGCCGGTGGCTCTTAAGTGAACTGCAGCTATATTTTTTTCATGACTTGACATGATCCAATGCCTTCAACATTCTGAAAATATGTACTGCTTACGATAGTTAGGAAACCAATAATATACAGATAAATGAGCGCATAAACATTTTTCATACTCCTAAAATATATATATTTTACTTTTATTCATTTAAATTTTTTCAAAAACATCCTGAGTCCTTCGCACAAAATTGGTCTATTCTACACACTTACTAAGACAACCTAGGAAGTAAGTCAGAATGTTTATTACAATCTATTTGAATATCCCCATCAAAAAAAATAAATAAATAAAAAATTAAAGAAATTACATAAAAGCTGGGTGTAAATTACAGGGGGGTTTGTGGGGGCCCGACCCCCCCTAATTAATACGGATCCCCCTTGAGGAACATCAGAAAAGGATGTATGGGGTGGTGCTCTTTAATAGTTAAGAAATAGTTTGCCCTGATCTGTATCTTAAATAAATGTTACTACTTAAAATAATAGATAACGTACATACCTTTGACCACCCCTATAGTGGTTCATACCATTGTGAATGAATGTTTGCGCAAAAAATATTAATTTAGCAGTTTGAAATAGGCAAATCTAGAGCACCAACAGACAGCGTGTTCACAAAAACATGTTTCCTGTAAAATAGGCATTTGTACTGTAGGTGTCCATAAAATGATGCATAGATTGTATTTTATTATACACTTGCTCACATGGAAGTTAAAGTAAAATAAAAGAGATGTGCAGTCTTTCATGGTCATCCATTAATACATGAAGAAATGCAAACATGTCACCCTTGATTTAATATCACATATGTTATTGAAAACCACTTAATGTCCCTCAAAACACTGAAAAAAAACTTGACTCCCCCCGACCATCAATGTATAATTCGCACCCTGCTTAAAATAAAATAAAAATAACAAATGTTGTCATGATTGACTTATCCTCCACTCAGTCAAAACTGGTTTGGTGTTCTTTATTCTGGTGAACACAAAGGAAGATATTTTAAAAATATTGGAAACCTATATCAATGTTCTTCAAAATATCTTCTTTTGAGTTCAACAGAAGAAATAAAAGAAAAAATTTTTCTAAACCTGATGGGAGAGCAAATAGTGAGTAAACTTAAAAATTTGGAAGAACAAACCCTATTAAAACAAATTATGTGTATTATAATTATATGTATTATATTTTATATTATATGTAGCCCATTTAATGTCTTAAATGCCTTATTTTTGTACTTTATAACATATATATATATATATATATATATTTTTTTTTTTTTTTTTTTATTAGGTTTTTATTTATATAGTGAAATATGACAGCCTGAATAGCTGTGTTTCTCTCTTCTTGTTCGGGTCAGAAATCCATCATTAGCACTTGGTATACTAAAAATGACTCTAGAACTGCACTAAAAGAGATTCCAATAAGAAAATATAAAATTAAAGCTCTCACTCAGGGACAGATCGGTCCTGGAGGTCTGTAAAATGCCTGTAAGTTGTTTCCAAAAGACAATAGTAATTCATCAAGTGCTTTATTTGATGGCTAATGATTAAGTGCACTTGAGATGCAGATTGATACAGATATTGACACATCTATTGTGGTTCTGTATGAGACATTAAAGTATAATGAAATTATGAAAGTATTATGTTCTACTTTAATCACAGTAGCTGTCAATCTGTCTCACTGGTTTGATTAATTTATGGGTGTCATTTTCCTCCCACAATGCCTCACCGAGTGTTTGCCAAGTATATTAAATGTGATATTTTTCTCTGTGCATTTTTTCTCTTATTCCTCTCTCTCTCTCACACACACACACACACACACACTAACACACACACTCACTTATAATATGGTATCGGAAATGCATCAAATCAATTGCTCCTACTTAACTGATGGTGGTGCTGTTATTTTCCCAAAAACTAATGTCACTTCCTGAAGGATGATGTAACTGGCTTTTGTAATTACTAAGCATGACAGGATGGAAAATGATGGTTCTGAGAGCACAGTAATAATAACTAGATAAACAGTTAAAACATTTGCATGGCCATGAAAATGTTTTGTACAAAATACGTTTAAATGTTGTACAAGATTATTGGAGTGCTGTGTATAAAGCACAACAGCCTGCATGGTTCTTATTTATACCAAGTGACTGTTGTGATTTCTGAAGTTGTGAATCAATTGTATGTGTTGTTGTAAAACCTATCTGTAATTTATCTTATAAGCTGTACTAGATGGAAAAACTTCATTACCCATGATAAAGAAAAATTCACCAATCGGAGAGTTGCAGTGAAAAATAATGCATCCAAATTTTTAGCTTCACCCTTTCCTATGAAGCACTGCAAATGATGCAATCCAATCTCTCTCTCTTTGCTCTCAAAATACGAAATATATACATATTTTGCAATAAATGTTAAATATTTTGAATTGCCGCCATATACTTTCATTATTTTATCATTTGTTAAGTACTTTGCTTTTAATCAAAAATTGTGATGTTGTGATACTTCTCATAGACAGTTAGTTTGGTTTATGGCTTATAAATTTCGACTAAGAACAATAAAAAATGTAGGACAAATAAATTGAAAGTTTTTTTGGAACAAGCATTGTTGAAAAATAGATGAGCACTCTACAACACTCTGATTTTACAATATTATTTGTTTGTATAGCGAAAATACTATCACAATTGTTTTACCACCAAATTTCACATTAAATGTAATGTGTTGGATGTTTCTTTATTGTGTTTGTATTTATTATGTTTGTCCTTCATCACAGCTTTTTTTCAGTGTATCTGCAATATTTTTATATCAATGTTTCTTTTAGATGTCAAATGTGATGATCAAATTAGCAACATTTATCCAAATAGGCTAAAGGTCAGGTAATTATTTTAATTAATTTTTGTTGTAACTCTGACCAGAGTTGGGTAAAATACATTGAAATGTATTGAAAATACCAAACACCTCAATAGTATCTGGATGCAGCCTTTATGATGCAAGCTGAGATTGCATCACTCGGCAATGAAATGTCAGACACAATGGACTCAATGGAGTGAGTGACATCACTGTGTTAGGTAGGGTTAGGTGAGCGCATTAAAAAGCATTGGATGCAGCTCAGATTGCACTGCACCAGGTCTGCATCCAGATCCATCTCAAATCCCTTAATTTTAGGTGTATCAAAATAAACTACAAAATACTGTATTTTAAAAATACTACAAAATACTTTTACAAAGTAGCATGACATTTGTTTGCAAATCTTCCATCAATTAGACCTCAATCAACCCCTTCACCATTGAACTGACGCAGTGAAGTAATTTTTGTAAGCAAATGTGGCCAGTAAAATTGCCATCATCTCTGTACAATGATTATTCAACCTAATATTTTAAAAGGGTGTTAAATAAAGAGTTCATTGATTTTATTTGTTCACAGAATATTTCAGAAATCTAGTTTTTTTTTTTTTTTTGCTATTGAACTCTTCAATACTCAATGTTTAAACTGTATGAAGAGTTTTTGATTAATAAATATTTGTGTTTCATATGTTGTGACATCTTAAGGCTTACATCTTTCTACTTCATTATCTATACGGTAGACCTACCTACTGATCAACTACTGGCATTTGAAACATCCAATGAAGTATTGTAGGAAGGAATCGCCACTGTAGGAATTATTTTAATCTTGCTTGTTTTAACAACAAACATTTGGCATTAGTAATCCATACAAAACTATTATTATTGGTACAGTATACTCTTTTTCCTAGGATTTTTTAAATTCTTCTTTAAATGGAAAAGTCAGTAACATCCAAAGCATTAATCAGAGGGTGCATTTATATGATGTTGTGGTGTTTCTTACAAAGTATTTTACAGTATTTTAAAAATACACAAATTCAATACACTAACGCATTTTGATAGAAAATATTGGCCCATTTTCATTAACCCCATCTAATACCGATAACAAAATTACTATTTCGTATTTGAAATTGAAATACTTGTATTATAAATACTGCCCATCCCTGACTATAACTAGCTGCTATTTTTAATGTAGGAAAAGTTTAAAAACCTAATAATTATCAAACCTTTAAAGTCAAAGGATCAATTAGACAATGGGTATAGTTGTGGTGAGTTGGGTTGGCTTTATCCTGTCCTGACCCCACGTTGAATATTTCTATTCCGCGCACGGTGATGCGGCTGATTTTACGTCGCCTTGTCTTACGTCATATTTGGTAAGATGCAGTCACTAGTAAAGTGTCTGCTGAATATGTTTCATTAGCAGTTTTTGCTACCTGTCTTTGTGTCCTCTTGAGACTGACGTGTCTTATCTCCATCACTCATTATCACACCACTGTGTGTGTGTATGTGTGTGCGCGCGCGCGCGATTGTGTGTTATGTGTGAGCGTCTCTACAGGACAGACACTCGTGCCGGTGCAGAGAAGCAGGACAGGTAAGATTTATTTCGATGCAAAAAAGACAACTTATATTGTGCTTTTTAAACGAGATATATAAAGCTAGCCATAATATGTTTAAATCTGAGACTCTTACCGTGACGCTCATCTGTTTAAAGCGCGAGAGATGCGCGTGACACCCTTCACCTCGAGACACTGCAGCCTATAAACAAGTGTCGTTGAACAAACAACTTCAAAAGACCTAAACAGCCTGATTCTCAAACAGACTTGCGTTTATCGCATGGGATGTCCACCCCGTTAGCTTGACAGGCGGTTAATTATCTCATCCGAAGCGCGGGCTCGATCGTGTCTAATTGACACGCGCCTATATGACCTTGTTCATGATAACTGTTCATTAGGCGCGTGCCTGGTGCAAATGGCGATTATTATATGCTCGAGATTTACTTGAAGTCCAGTGAGGTATAGCTATGAACAATATCCTTCTTGCGAAGTATGCAGACTCTAGAGGCTTGCGATAAAACCGAATTAAAATAAATTTAAATAAAATAAAATAATTAAAAAAGTTTATAAATTATTTTTTTTAATAATAATTATTTTAACTTTTGATTATTTTAGAGTGTTTTGACAGTCGTGGTGTAATCTCCTTTATTTTACATTTATCTCAAAATATGTGCAGTTAAGTATCAGCAAGAACATCATCTGGTTCAGGAAATTGTCCTTTATG